ACCCCATATACAATGTACAGTACTCCCAGTGTTTGCCCAGTAGAGATGCCCACTTGGAGCACAGAATCCCCATTTTTTCAACTTCCCTCCTGAAATTTTCCAAGTAGTTGAAGATCACTAAACCGAACAATTGCAGATTGTTATATAACCATTGGTGTTAGAAATTTTAAATCACTAAACCGAATTATCGCTAAGTGAACGATCGCTAAACAATGGTTACCTGTAGAATATATATCTGTACTTCTTTTGTGGGCAAGTAAACATTTAATTGAAACAAGTATTAACCTATAACAAGAGAATGATAAACTGGGGAGGCAGTACAGCCTATATGTTAAACTAATGAAGGAAATATTTTAAATTCATGCACAGACGTTGTCATATTATGGTATGGCAATGTCTTCATCTATGTTTTAATTTTGCTTGGCACTTTCTTTTTAAATTGTTGGAGTTTACTACTCATAGGACAGGATAATATATGTGCATTTAATTTTTAATGATATACTATGTATCTTTTATACAGTAGTTAGTAGCCTACATGGTAATTTCCCCCAAATTATGCAGGGATGACATTCTTCTGTTGGTAGAACAAATGTATTTTAACCTTTTTAGTACTCCTCACATATACTGTACTGTATGTATGTTTCCTTGGGGAAGTGCTTTCTTTTTTCCCCAAATAATATTTTCTGCCCATATTTGAAATTCACTACACCCCCATACCATATATCGCGTTAATTATTCTGAGATGACCCACTGTTCTCCCATACAAAAGTGGATACACATGTGCAACAGTGTAATGTTTGTTTCTAGCACCAATGTTGTTGATGCTATGTCTGATGAAGCATTTGATCAAATATTATTGGTCAGAAAGCCCTCTGATGTCTTCAGTGATATTTGAAATAAATGAGCTGAGAGTGCTCTTTATTGCTTCTAAGTTTTCTACACCTCATAAACAATGTTAACCATGATGTAGAAGACAATATATACTGTAAAATAAAGCTGTGTTTACTTACTTTAAGAACAAGTTTACTGAAGATTTCTATCCTTACCACAAACTAGTGATACAGGAATCATTGGTGCCATTCAAAGACACTTGGGCTTCAAGCAGTATTTCTCATTAAAATTACACACACTGTAGTATGTACTGTATTTGGCATAAAGAGCTTATTTTATGTGATTTTAATACTGATATTGTTTTAGATACGATTTTATATAATGTACTACTGGGGAGGCTACAGAAATTTAGCAACATCCTCTCAGAGTTTCTGTTGTATTGCAGGAAAAAAGGTACAGTAGTTTACTGTATAGTACTGAATTGGGAAAAGGAGACATTTTAGCTTACATTACAGTATTATTTTACATCGGTAAATTAAAAATATTTTATAAGCTTCTGGAATATCATGAAAAAGACACACACAAAAAAAAACCAGGCCCAATACACTGCCTTGTGGTACCCAGCTTGTCACGGGTACACATGGCAATTTCATACCATTAATCGCTACACACTGCTTGCGATCATGCAGAAAGTCCCGATCCACGCTAGGACACTTGCCCGATTCCCGTACCCTTCCAGTTTAAGTTTCAGCCTTTCTTGGGGTACTCTGTTTTAGAGCCTTGGTAAAATCTAGGTATACCCTGTATAGTATTGTTGATATTGCCACACTGTTCCAGAATTTGGGTCCAAACATCCAGTACCTTGAGTAATTGTGTGAAGCAGGGGCGTCCCGGCATAAAAACTGTCTTGGCAGTCCTTTACAAGATTGTTTCATAGTAGATGTTCCATCATGGCATCTCTTATAATGCTCTCTATTGCTTTACACACTGTGCTGGCTCACTGTTTATAATTATTTGTTGAATGATGATCACCATTCTTGAATATAGGACTCACATAAGCCATTTACCAATCACTGGAGACCTTTGCTCATCCAGGCATTTACAGCTCCAGGGGTTCAGCAAGCTCGTTGCACAACTCTCTTAACACACTGGGATGCACCATGTCAGAGCCAGTACTCTTATGAACCTTTAGCTTTGAAAATTTATTTCTTATACCCTCTTATGAGAACACAATGTGGGTCAGCACTGTGTCAAACCGTCTGTCGTCAAACATAGGAAGATTGTTCACATCCTCTCGTGAACACCGAGAAAAAACACCTGTTCAACGCCTCCGTCTTGTCCTGGTCAGAATCTGTGTAGCGGTAAAATGCCGTTGGATTTGACTTGACCTCGCTTGCAATCCGCCGTTGGAACTATTTTTCAGCCCTTCTACACTCTGACTTTGCTTGGTTCCTGGATATGGCATACATCCTCTCTTGTCCTGCTCATCATTTGTCCTAACCCACATCTCGAATTTCTGAGTTTTTTCTTAACTCTGTCAACCGTCGCATGGTTCTCGTGTAACGGTCTCCTTGTAGTCCTGGAGGCACTGGGTTTGGTTTTGGGTGCTTCTGTATGCCACTAGCCACATAAGATTTTTCTTCAATCTTCAGTGATTTAAGATAATAAAAAATCAGTGAGATCAGCTTTCTAGGTTATGTTAAGCTGGGTTGGTAAGGTTTTCATTAATTACATACTTGTTTCGTGGGTTTAAATTGACGCAAGGGATGAGCTGTATCTCCCGAGTCAATTTGCCCAAGAAATGAATGTGAAATTCATTCTAAACACATCAGAATATACAGGAAAAACATATTTTCGTCCGAAAACTCGTGATGGGGTCCTAAATGAATATTGACACAAAACTTATAAGTTCCATCCTTATATTTTTTACAGTACAACAGTATCCTGCTCATTTTATAATTATATCCTATTAATACTCTGATGTTCACTAGGAATTCTGAAAAGTGGATCTTTATAAATACTAAATGCATTCGATAAAAAAAAAGGGCTCATAAAAATTAATGAACAGTCAACATTGACAGAAGTAGGTTTATGACTCCCCTCTCTGGATCCTTTGGAAATCTGGAGAAAGACAGTTTCTTTTCCTTTGGTGTTGTTGGAACAGTAATTGTGTCACATTGTAAATGGTAAAATAAAGTGCTTAAGACCATAAAAAACTATGAATTTACCTAAATGTGTCTTCCTCTCTTAAATCCTTGCCTGCATTCGCCCATTGCAGTGAGCCATCCTCCTACCTACAGTATATAAGCCTTGCATTGATTGACCGGATATTCCAACAACAATCGTTTGATTACTTAAAATTAACCCTAACGGAATCAGGCATGTTTGGCTCAAAAAACTGATTATGGATAAGAGGGTCACTTTCAGGATACTAATAACTACGGTATCCAACTAACCCGACTTAATAAAAGAAAAAAGTGACGGGTATAGAAATAGCATAAATCCCTGTGTTTGTTTGTTAGTTTATCTTTGGTTTTGTCAACATTTATAATTACAGTATTCAAATAAAAATTAATGGATCTTAATTAAATTTGTTTTATGGATACATTATTTTAATTTTGATTATTGGTATGTTCTGTTGTCAAAATACAAAAGTTATAGCCTTGTGGACTTTGTTTTTGGCATGGTGGGGTATTTGTCATCCATAAATAGTATTTATATTTATGAGGGAAAGGTAAGTACAGTATTGAATAATTTATGGCTTACTTTTTGATGAAGGATTTTGGTAGTTAGTTCAGCACCATTTTTTAGTGTGTCTGCAGTAAAGTGAAATGGGCAAATCAGGGCTTTTGATCATTGCTTTCCATTATAAAGAATTACAGAAATGAATTAGAATTTGAAGATACCTGTACAGTGCTCTCATTTTCAGAATTGTGAAGCTAATGGCAGTTCAGGCCCTACTGTATTATAATATTACTTGCTAAAATGTACATCAGGACAATCATTTAGTCGCCATTTACTGTAGTCATTTGAACATAATCAGTGTGTGGATGGTCTAACTGTAGATACTATCATTGAGTGGATGATCTGACTATATACCATCATTGAGTGGATGGTCTGAATGTACAGATAACTGTCAGAGTAAGGGGTATGATGGACTCTCTGAACAGCCTGCCAGAGAATATCGTGTAAGCACTAACTAAACTAACACGGGAACATGTTCAAGTACTGTACATTCAAAGAACCTGTACAGTACATGCCCAGTACTTGCCAATGGTGCATAACAAAACTGAATGACTGACTATACCCTTTCCACACTAAAGGCGTTTATTGTAAGGCATTTTCGATGCGCGGATTAGTTAACTCGTAAGCTATTCTGTATGTGCAGACGCTGCTTTTGACTTGTGCGCAGGGAACATTCAGAGGGAAAAGCTAACACCTCGATCAGGATTTAGCCTTAAGCGGCACAAATAGCTAACAACCAATCAGCGATTTCTCCCACTGAAAATACGAGGATCATGGTCGCTTATGGAGAATATTTTGATTAATATTGAAGAGTTGAGGGCATGTAAGGCAATTAAAAACTGTTATATAATAATAAAAATAATTTTATATACGGTAGTACCTGTATATTGGATAGGACCTAAAATAAAGCTTATGGCGTGAAAAAATTTAAAAGAATTGCCCCTAGTTGAAACCAGTTTAGGCTCCGCCCTTTTTAAGTGGGTGCTGTCCGATTTCATTAGCCGTTGGTGACTTTGGTGTAACAATATTGATAATTACTCAAATATGATTAAAACTTTAATATCATTACTCATAAGATACTTTAAATACGGGTGAAAAGTTTATTACAGTTCTGTAATTGCAAAAATTAAGACACAACGAACCTGAAATTCATCATGTTGCAAGTATATTATAGGCGGACACCTGTAAACAACGCTATGTAACCACGAGATGAGAGAACATACAGTACTGTACGTAGTAGAGCACCATTCCTGTATAAAAAATGGATCAAGCTGCCATGGTTATTGTTGATGGATTGTCTTTTTTTTCCTTTTTGTCTTTCTTTCCATATTTTTCTAAATATTTTCTTCACTATTTCTTTACGAATTGTGTCCATTTTTTAACAATTCTAATTTTATTGTTTTCTGAAGACTGTTGTACAACGGTTATTTCCAAGATGCGGTACAAATGTAGTATTTTTTAATGACAGTCCGGGAAAGTTAACACGTTTGCTATGCTGTGCATCTTAAAACACCTTACAAAAACACCTTAACCTGGCCCCTCTTCTCTACTAATAGCTGATTGGTTCATAGAAAATTCAAACTAAATGTGTTCACAATTGGTAAGCAGACCTGTTATTATCTAAAATAATGTTATATATATATGGATTATCAAAATGTAAATAATTTCAAGGTATTAGCACTTCAGAAAGGATGTTAGAAAATTTTAAATATTTATCATAAAAGGTCGATATAAATATGCACAGTATGGAGGGGGGGGTACAGCATTCAGGGGAACCAATCGGCTATTTGTAGCTATAGACGAGGGGCAGGGCTTAAGGGCCAGCATAGTGTGGAAATATTATAGATAGTTAGCTAACAAAAGATAAAAGAATATGAGGCAACTTTAAATGTGTACCAGCAATATGAAATTCAGAAAATCACTTCCAGTAATGGTTATGGTTTTCCTGTTGGATCTACAGTGAACAATCCTTTCTCATCTGCCTCAACGAGTAGATCTAGGATCCTTTTGCTCATCACTTCATTCTTCCCAGACTGAAGTTCTGCTAGTATTGGCTTAAACATAAGACGGAAAAGAGTTTTGTTAATGCGCTGACCCATTGGCGTGTAGATCATGGGAACTAATAACTTTGCCAATGCCTGCTTCATGCCACCAAGAGCTAGTTTAACTGGCAAGAGAAGAGGTTTGTCGAGCACAGATGGTTCAGGTTTCTTCATAAGATTACAAGTGTTTAGAGTTCCCAACGTCAGAGCACTACCTAAAATGAACCCTACAATTTGTGTCTTCTCCCAGTTGATCTTGAATTCCTCAAAGGTCCAGTTGGCAGGAGGGGTGCCCATCTTGGTGGTGAGCCTGGTGAAGGTTGAGTGATAGTACTGTAAGATCTCCTCCAGGTGAGCATTTCTCACTTCAACGGTGGTGGATGTATTCACTATATAATGCAGATCAAACACAGGGTTACCTAAGCTGCTGTTTCCCCAGTCAATAACTTTTAATTTCTCTATATGTTGTTGACTTTGTTCTAGATCTGAGTCTTTGTATTTATACATGAAATTACAGTTCCAATAATCTCCATGATTTAAGCATGTGATTTTGTTGTCTCCTTCACTCATAACAGTTATTAACTTGTCTAGTAAATTTTGCTTACTTTCTCCAAGTCTCTCTGATACATCATTTTTATTACCTAAACTTTTGAGATATTTACAACAAATTTCTAACAAAACAGTTGCTAAGGGGTTTATAAAGCTTAGAAAAGCTAATGTTGAGGAAATACATGGATACTTCTTTCCAAGGTCAGTAGTCTGATTGTATGCATATGACACAGCATGAATTCTTGCAAGTTGGTCTACAGCAGCCTTAAGATGCTGGAAGTCCAGCCCTTTACGTTTGTCATTTATCTTGTATCCTTTAACCTGTAAATTTTCCATTAATAAAACAAATTCCTTGTCTGTGCACTTGCCATAGATAAGCTCGGGCATCGATATCATGGGTTCATCAGGTGCTCTGGCAGCCTGAAATTCATTTAACTCTTTAATGAGATCTGTGTACATCAGATACTCCTTTAAATTGCTCTTTGCTGAACGGTTGAACTCACGGTTCATAGGATCCACACTGAGAAACTTGGCTACCAGATGGAAAGTGATGGTGTCTTGTACTGTAGGTGAGCTTTCTTCCTCCTTCATCGATGTCTCAGGTGAGCTTTGTTTTTCTTTCACTGTCTCAGGTGAGCTTCCTACTTCCTTCACTGATATTTCAGGAGAGCTTTGCTCTACCTTCATTGATGCCTTGAGTGAGCTTCCTTCTTCCTTCATTATTGCCTTAGATGAATTGTCTTCTTTCACTGATGCCTTGAGTGAAAGTCCTTTTTCCTCCAGTAATGTCTCAACCTGCAAGACCACCAGCTCTGAGTTGAAGCCATCACTAGGCCCCGCACCTTTAGTAAGAAATAATAACACTTTTCATCATTTATATTTCGTCCCCTAAAAATGTTTCTTATGTTTTAATGTGCATGGACTTGAGTGAGAGCAGTGGATATGGACTGTCTACAAAGTACTGTTATGCTGAGGCATAATTTTGTAAAGTAGGTGTTTTGATTGTTTTCTGTACCAGGCAGCAGTTATTTTGGCAAATTTAGTGAAATTTTCGTGTGTATAGTGATGTATTAATTATGTAAGAATGCTGTATTCTAGAATGTATTGCATAATTTTTGTTGATTTACTTCTTATTGTAAGCTTAGATCATTCTAGAATTCTCCAGGAGTGTCGCGAGACGATCTCCCGCGTCTGGACACTGCTAGAATGCTCTAGCATCTGACAAACCATATATAAGCGGCCGCGGGCTGCCTAGTGGAGTTTGCCGATCGTTTCTGTTCAGAGTGTAAAGAATAAGCCTAGCAAAACAACTGAAGACAATTGTTGTGCAAGTATTGTGGAACTGTTGTGATTAATATAAAGTGAGAAGAAATGTAAACTGGTAGTGTGATAACTATATATTCGAAGTGTGGAGTTAAGCTGTGAAGACATTACCCTGTAAACAGTGTTGTGAAGACTTAGTGATTATTAAAGAAGACTACAGTGCACAAGTGTGTTTCTGTGACCTGGTGAAAATCTACCTGCCAGTGGTAATTCGACAACTTTGTGAGATATTCAGTGCTCTGTACATACGACCCTAGCTGCTGGTAACCAGTGGTGGAAGCTAGGTAAGCAGTGAAAGGAGGAGGGTCATAACAATACTTATAGTACCTCAGGTGTTGGGAGGGTTTATAGAGAAATGGAATGACTACTGTGTACAGTATACAGTATAAGGAAAAATATTTGTTTGAAAACATCTGGGGGACCTATTCTATGTACACAGGATGAGATTCATATACAGTAGTTGGATTTAAATCCAATTTTAAGGGTTTGGATACATTTCCAATTTCTTTCAAGTAGCATTGGATTCTAAATGAGCTGTATGTTCGTATACTGTACTTATTTTTCTTCCTCAAGGAGGACTGAAGAAACTAACCACCTTGTTTTTCAATGGTGTTGTTATCGCATCATGTTTGATATCAATATGAGGAAGACCATCTCCAAGAGTTCATCTGTCAACATGGACTAGTTGGCAGGATGTGCACGTGTTCAAAATGCAGCAGAGAATTGACAGTGAAGAACCATGTGTTTCAATACAACAACTGATTGTACATCCACAAAAAAACGTAAAATTACACAATGTTGCTTCAAGAAAGTTACTTTCATTAGTACCAGATATCAAAGGAAGTGCTTTCCGCTTAATATGCCAAAGGCCAGAGCCTCCTGGTTAGGAAGTTAAGTAAGGATCGGTTGGTTAGGTTCTGTGCACCGTCATTTCCATTTTTGTGGTTAGTATCATGCAACTAGTACTGTATATCCAGAAATCTTGGTGCAACTCCATAAAGTCCTTTAGGTGCTAACCATCTCTTACACTATTACCGTAATCCTTAATGAGGTTCAAAAGTTATAATTCAGATGATTAACCTTCCTAACATCCCTTGAGGTAATTTAAACCATCTTCAACTGCTAATCATTGTACCATACTGTACTTGTATGTTCAAGAGACTTTTTTTTACACTTCACTCTTACTCAAAAAATTAAGCAGCTAAACACATTTTTTCTAATTAATAAAGATATGTATCCATAAACTTAAGAATTGACTTTATATAAATTATCAAATAATTTTTACTGAAGCCGATTGGTTTGTATGTATAAGGTGGTTATTGCTATATCTATACATCCATTTTTCTATCTATCCAACCATCCACCCATCTACCTATCTATTTATCTACAGTATACTATACATCTGTATCTATCCATGTTTTCAAATTTTCTTGAGAATGGGAGAGCTACTGTGTTCATACTACACTTGACATGTACAGTATATTCAACCTATAGTGTTAAAGTCATGCTCACATCTTTAATAAAAATAGGCACCTCCTAACTTATGTTGATACCTCACCCAAAACTGTTGTTTCTTGGATATATAATACATCCATGTTTCTATTCACTTATCTGATAAGTACAACATTTATATATTGACATCTTATTTATATATACTGTACCTGTAGCCTTACTTATTTACATATTTAATTTCTTATTTTATTACTTACTTAATACTTATTCACTTTTTTTACTTACTATTTACTCATTTAGTACCTCATCGTCACTGGACTTACCATCATCAACATTAAAGTTCTTGACTGTTACCGTCTTTTCTGGGTAGGTACTGGCCAGGTGTTGACCCAGCACATACTCCAGCCAGGACTTGGTGATGTCCTTACTCGATGAAGGTGCCTTCATGACGGTCTTCAACAGCACCACCAACGACCTTTGAGTGGACAGATACCAACAGCTTATGTATACAATTGATGTAATGGCATTCTTTATATCTATCTAATTCTGTCATGATTAATATGACAAGTAAAAGGATTGTAGAAAATATTCCCCCTGCTCCCAAGACATTAGGTCTCAACATACCAACGTTACACTATACTGTACCTACGCTTCATTACATCTCGGTAGATCCTAATATAGCAATGCACTACATCATTTGATCTATATTTCATTACATCTAGGTAGATAGGTACCAGTACACCAAGGTACAGTACCAATAGAGCAAAGTAATTTTGATCTACATTTCATTACATCTCAGTAGGTCCTTCGGTTTTGTCAGCATGATTGTTCGAATAAAGATTAGTGGATTTTAACTACATTCGGTTTATGGATATATTATTATTGAAGTATTTGACGTGTCTGAGTATTGATATTTTGTCGTCAAAATACAAAAGCTATTTGCCTTGTTGGCTTAGTTTTGGCGAAATTATTGTAGTTTCACTCCCAATTGGGTTAGACCGTTAGAGCAATTTTGGGTTCATTTGATAACTCAAAACGACCCATTTCCGACAGAAATAAAGGTCAAATTCGAATGACATATCAAATATCATGGGAAAGGCTCATATTTCTGGTAAAAAGAAAAAATAGCAGTGAAAATGCAATTTTACAGGTCAGGTTAGGCTAGGGTAGCTTAGCTTAGCTTCATTCCGTTTTTTCTCTCCCCCCATCCAAAACCCCCAAATTCCCACGGGTCCCCCAACATTGTTGGAGGGGAGGGGGATAACTAAAGAACCATTCATTTCGACGGAATTGCAGGTCTAATTCGAATGAATCACACCAAATTCCAAGGGAAAAGCCTAGAATTCTGGTCAAAAACCGATTGGTAATGAAACTGCAATTTTACTGTTTTGGCTTGGGGGATTTGTCAACCAGAAATGGAATTATTAATAAAATCACCAATTACGCCCAGGTTCTCAAATACACAAATACTGTTAATTTACTGTCTGACACGTGATAAAAAAAAACATCTATTTCTAACATCCGACCTTTAAGTTCAACGAACAAGAAAATAAATATTCAACGTATTTACTCACTACTATCGTTCATTTATTAAAGAGCATTGCATATTTTGTAAAATTCTACAAATCTATTTCGTGGTCACTTTTGGAGAATACCGACGGAAACGGTTAGTAATGTTACTAAACTGTGGCGAATGAAGCTATTGAGAGAGTCAACTTGGAATCTTTGATCATACTCGTCCAACCCACCTCTTGATTATATTCACAACATCCCGAGTGTCTGAGAAATTTACGAGCATCCTGTGAGGTTAGAAAATAAGGCCTATCTAGCAACTTTATGAGCTCTTGAGTTAACAACTTATCACATATAGAAAAGTTTTTTCTGTATCTGTTTATATGTTTCCAATGTAAGTACACTCCGCAATAATACTTTTTACTTTTATCCTCTTCGCCACTGATCGGTTTGTTAGCCGCTTGGGCGATCGGTCACGTCTCTTTTCATTTATATTCTTCACCAAAAGATCGGCTCGCTAGCCGCCCGGGCGATCGGTCACGTCTCTGTCACGCACTGTTGGTAAATACTGGGCATGCACCGGCTCCTGAATGTACCTGAACCCGCTCCAGTGTTGGTCAAGTCTTCTCTTGAAAGAGCTCACACTCGGTGCCGTCACAACACTCTCTGGTAGATTGTTCCAAGAGTTTACAACCCTCACTCAGAAAAAGTTTGCCCTCACGGTTTTCTGGACTTGCGGCTTCTTCAACCCCTTGTGGGGCGAGCGTCCGCCAGCTCCAAGTAAGGACACTCAACTGTGTAGTGCCCCCTGACATGCTTATACACCTCAACTAGGTCCCCCCTTGCCCGTCTGTAGTATAAGCTAGGCAAGTTCAGGCGCTCCAATCTCTCAGGGTAGCTGAGGTGCCGAAGTGCAGGCACCAGTCTGGTGGCCCTCCTTTGAACATTTTCAACCAACTGACAGTCCCTAGTATATCTCGGGGACCAGATGGGGTGACAGTACTCCAGATGGGGAAGCACTTCACTCCTGAAGATCGTTACGAGGGACGGACCGTCTAGATATCTGAATGACCTTCTTATAAGACCCACTAATTTATTTGCTTGATTTACCTTCTCGCAATGGCCCCAGAACTTCAGCTCATTGTCAACATACACACCTAGGTCCTTCTCATATTCAGTCTCAAATAGTGCAGTTTCTTCATCCCGTTGGGACATATATGATACGCCTCCTTACCGTTGATACGCCCCAGGTGCATCCTCTTACACTTCGTGACATTGAATCTCAGCAGCCATTTCTTCGACCATTCCTGGAGCCCACAGAGGTCCTTCTGCAGCTCTTCACAGTCCGCTTGGTTCTTAATTTCCCGAAATAACTTGCCATCATCGGCAAACATTTGTATGGAGGAGTGTACAACGTCAGGCATGTCATTTATGAAACAAACAAACAACAGCGGGCCCAATACACTGCCCTGTGGTACCCCACTTGTTACAGGTACAGATGACGATTTCGTGCCAATAATCACCACACACTGCTTGCGGTCATGAAGAAAGTCTTCTATCCACGCTAGGACATTTCCCCGAATTCCGTACCATTCCAGTTTGATTTTCTGCCTTTCGTGGGGTACACTGTCGAAAGCTTTGGCAAAATCTAGGTAAATATTGTCGATATTACCACCCTGTTCCAGAATATGGGTCCAAATATCCAATACCTTGAGCAATTGTGTTAAGTAAGAGCGCCCCGGCATAAAACCGTGTTGGCAATCTTTTACAAGGTTGTTTCGTAGTAGATGTTCCATCGCGGCATCTCTGATAATACTGTGGGGTTCAGGTTGTTTGGTTCACACTCAGGATGGGATGGAGAAAGGAAACTCACAATGTGCTCTCTATATATGCTGTATTGGATGTACAATGCAGCTTGGTGCTGGGAAGGCAGCATGGTTACAAGCGTGATGTAGAGACAGCTGGTAGGTGAGGATGCTCAGAGAAGGACAGCTTGTGGGTCGCCATGCTCGCCGGCGGGAGAGAGGACCGCCAGGCAGGCGGAGGAGGAGCGAGGGCCGCCAGGCAGCGGCGGAGGAGGATGTGTTGCTGGCTGCGGCTGTAGGTAGAAAGAGGACAGGTCACCACGAGGTCAGGTCTTAAATAGCGGGGGTTGACGTGGCTTAGTAGTTGACCCCCGCTCCGTGATGTATGGCGGCGCTGGTTGACCTCGACCACGAGGCATACACTGGGGAATTGGTGGGGTCGGCTACTCAGCGACAAACAGCGTTTGTAGGGGAGAAATCCACTACAATACTCTCAAGTACTTTACATATTATGCTGGTCAGGCTCACCGGTCTATAGTTGTTCGTGGAGTGACTATCGCCCTTCTTGAAGATAGGACTCACATAAGCCACTTTCCATTCACTGGGGACCATTTGTTCATCCAGGTATTTACAAAACAGGATCTTCAGGGGCTCTGCAAGCTCGTTGCACAGCTTTCTTAGCACTCTAGGATGCACCATGTCAGGTCCGGGACTCTTATGAACCTTTAGCCTGGACAGTTTATTTCTAATACCCTCTTCTGTGAACACAATGTGGGTCAGTGCTGTGTCGAACCGTCTGTCCTCAAACGCAGGAAGGTTAGTTGCATCCTCTCTTGTGAACACTGAGGAAAAGAAGCTGTTCAATGCCTCAGCTTTATCCTGATCAGAATCTGCGTAACTACCATCTTCAAGCCTCAGGTCTGATACTCCTACTCGCGTTTTCAATTTCGACTTTGCAGAGCGGTAAAACGCCTCTGGAACTCCTTTTCAGCCCGCCTACACTCTATCTTTGCTTGGTTTCTGGCTCTTGCATACATCCTCCTGTCTTGCTCATCGTTTGACCCAACCCACGTCTTGAATTTCTGGGTTTTCTTCTTAATTTTGTCGACCGCCGCATGGTTCATGTGTAGTGATCCCCTCGTATTCTTAGAAGCACTGGGTTTGGTCTTGGGTATATATTTATCGATCAAAAGGGTCATTTTACTAGTTATGATATTCAGCGTAGTGTCTGCGTTCTTGTACCTTAGTAAGTCAGGCCAGTTGATACCCCTCATCCCATTGTAATTTCCTTGTAATATTTGCACTTGGCCTGGCCTTATCTTGAACTAGGTAACAGTTAAATCTGAATGACAACACTGTATGGTGACTGGTGCCAACTGGGGCAAGGTAGTCTAGTTTGGCCACCATACCCTCCTCGTTTGTTATGATGAGGTCAAGTGGCTTGGGTGTTTGCTCCTCTGTAATGTGTGTCTCTCACATGTTGGAACAGAAAATTATCTCTCAGAGTTTCTACAAAAAGAGTAGCAGGGTTATTCAAGTCATTCGGGGTGACTCGTTTCTCCTCGATGTCGCCATAGTTAAAGTCCCCATGATAAAGGTGGCTAGGGTGAGCATCGCCGTATTGTTTATTAAGGTTCTTAAGTTCTTTGATTTAGTGGGCCACAGTTTGGGGATCTGTAGATACACCCGACGATAAGTAAGTCCCCTCCCTTTAATTTAATTTTACACCACTTGGACTCTTCAAAAACATCCTCTCCCTGTACCCTCGCCTGGCTGGCTCTAAGGTCTTGCCTAGCGTAGATAACCACACCCCTCCTGCAGGACTCTTGAGTTAGGTTCGTAAATGAGTCATATCCAGCAATATGTTTTATTTTGTATAACGAGTCTTTTTTTCTTCCCAATTTCTGTCCCTTACAGTGGAATTTAGAGTTTTGGGTCTGCAGATAAGAAATATTCTATATTTATTCCAAACATAGCAAGATTATGCTAAACTTACTTTTTTTACATTTAACCTCTTCACCACGGATTGGCTCGTTAGCCGCTTGGGCGATCGGTCACGTCTGTTATTTTGTTACGCACTGTTGGCAAGTACTGGGCATTATGCTATAATTTATGCTTGGCACCAAATTTGGGAGTCACCAATTTATGCTTGGCACCAAATTTGGGAGTCACCAAATTATGCTAAAAGCATAAAATTATGCTAGATATGGTAATACTGCTGAGAATTATCAGCGTTATCTCTTGTTTCAACAAAAAGCCTTCGTCATCGTGTCTCAGTGTCGTTTTGACCTTGGTATGTCACTTAATATCTCAAGGTTGACTCATAATACTTGCACCACGGGGGGTAATTCACGACAATTTAGAGGTAAAGTTATATTATTGGGGTGAAATAACAGGCGAGTCACCGTGTTTATTTTACAAACGTACACACAAACGTCAAATGCTCCTTCCCCCACAAACACACACTTGTAAGCCTATATAATGCAACAGTAATTTTATATTCGCTTAAACTAATAATGCTAAACAAACCAACCTTAACCTTAGAAACTCCGATTATCAGACCAGAGATGGTGTGGGGTACGGGTTGTTTTGTGTTCACACTTAGGATGGGATGGAGAAAGGAAACTCACAATGTGCTCTCTGTATACATGTTGTATTGGATGTACAATGCAGCTTGGTGCTGGGAAGTGGCAGCGTGGTTACAAGCGTGATGTAGAGAGAGCTGGTTGGTGAGGGTGCTCCGAGGAAGCTTATGGGTCGCCATGCTTGCCGGCGGGAGCGAGGGCCGCCAGGCAGCGGAGGAGGTGTTGGTTGGTGTAGGTCGAAAGAGAGGTAGGTCACCACGAGGTCACGTCTTAAATAGCGGAGGTAGGCGTGGCTTAGTAGTTGACCTTCGTCATGTAAGGCGGCGATGGTTGACCTAGACCAAGAGGCATACACTGGGGAATTCGCGGGGTCGGCTACTCAGCGACAAACAGCGTTTGTAGGGGAGAAATCCACTACAATGGCAAGAAGAGGTATTGTGTTCATGATAATGGGTCCCATAGCCATGACTGCCCGTTAGAGACTGTGAATACAGCAAACTGTACAGTACACAACGAGGCAGGATGGCCAGCATTGCTCTCGACCGCCTTCACTTCCGCAAGTTATAAACTTAGGTACCTATTTATAACAGGTTCAACTGAGAGCGCCCAGGAATCGAACCACCAACCCTGGAACAGATTTAATAAAAGAGTCGCGCTCTCCTGCAACCCCTTCATGAAGGCTCATTCATTATGTTTGCTTTTCGTCTTCGCCACATTGTACAGTACAGGTATAGCAGAATTAAAACGTTGTTGCATTAATGTGTACTTCTAGATGTAGTATAAATATGATAAATGGTCTAACTGATTGAATTTCTTCGCCTGTTATTTCACTCATAGGAGAAAGTAAAAGTTTCAGTGTCAAGTTTCACTCAACAAGTAGTCATGTCTGGGGTCTGATACCAGAAATTAATTTTAGCTTTATTGAGCTTCAAGATTTCCTTGGAAGTTGAATAATTATGATTTAATTGAATAGGTGCCATAACAAAATGCATTAATGAGCACTTACCCAAATCTTGATAAAGGATGATGACAGGGTACACACTGTCCGTGAAGTCTGCCGTATACAGTAAGTAGAGTACGTACAATCAGCAAGATAGCAACGCTCACTGAGTCACTACCACTGGCGCAGTTATCGTACCGTAATAAATTATATATTATAGTCAGGAGTCAACTGCTATATTCTGCTCATAAAGAAGTGTTGCTAAACATTCAGAGTAGAATATGGCAACATCTTTTTGAGAATCCGAACTTACGAAAAAAAACTGACTTGCGACCTTTTGAGAAGCCGAATTGCAAGTTCGGATTCTCAAAAGATCGTAAGTCAATTTTTTATCGCACGTTTGGAATCACAAAAGATCGTTGTGGGTGGGGGTTGAGGGTGAAGTGTGGGGATTGAGGGTGGGGTATGTTGATTAAGGGTGGAGTGTGGGGATTAAGGGTGGGGTATGTTGATTAAGGGTGGAGGTGGGGATTAAGGGTGGAGTGTGGGGATTGAAGGTGGAGTGTGGGGATTGAAGGTGGAGGGTGGGGATTAAAGGTGGAGTGTGGTGGATTAAAGGTGGAGGTGGAGATTTAAGGTGGAGTGTGTGATTGAAGGTGGAGGGTGGGGATTGAAGGTGGAGTGTGGGGATTGAAGGTGAGGTGGGGATTAAAGGTGGAGGTGGGGGGATTAAAGGTGGGTGTGGGGATTGAGGGTGGAGGTGGGGATTAAAGGTGGAGTGTGGGGGATTAAAGGTGGGGTGTGGGGATTAAAGGTGGAGTGTGGATTGAAGGTGGAGGTGGGGGATTGAAGGTGGAGTGTGGATTGAAGGTGGGAGTGGGGATTGAAGTGTGGAGTGGGATTGAAGGTGGGAGTGTGGGGATTGAAGGTGGAGTGTGGGGGGATTGAAGGTGGAGGTGGGATTGAAGGTGGAGTGGATTGAAGGTGGAGTGTGGGGATTGAAGGTGGAGGTGGGGGGATTGAAGGTGGAGTGGATTGAAGGTGGAGGTGGGGGATTGAAGGTGGAGTGTGGGGGATTGAAGGTGGAGGGGATTGAAGGTGGAGGTGGGGGATTGAAGGTGGAGGTGGGGGATTGAAGGTGGAGTGTGGGGGATTGAAGGTGGAGTGTGGGGATTGAAGGTGGAGTGTGGGGATTGAAGGTGAGGGATTGAAGGTGGAGTGGGGGATTGAAGTGGAGTAGTGGGGGATGAAGATGGAGGATTGAGGGTGGGGTGTGGGGATTGAGTGGTGTGGGATTGAGGGTGGAGATTGAGGGGGGGTGTGGAGATTGAGGGTGGGGTGTGGGGATTGAAGGTCAATCCTACACATTACTAAGTCGATTCCTCACTCATGTAGGCAAACACGCCGACCAGGTTGGTCGCCTTGCAAGATCCAGGTCAGGTCACCCTTATGGGACCTGCGTCTGTACAGAGGTCCCATAAGGGTGACCTGACCTCGCAGTAACAGAGCCTCTGGTGGAGTCACCAATAATATCATTATATATGGCAACAATTTGTAGTAAACTAATTTGTAATATGTAAATAAAAATGTACTTATTTTTCAATTCTTTATATATAGTATTTATATCCTATTTTTTTATTGTCTTATACTGTATATATACATATTTGCGTCCTAAGAATAAAGCAAGCCAGCAAATAAAAAAAAAGCCGAAAACAAAAGGGTCAGAGACAACACCACTTCTACAGCTTTTCCTTTCTGCTCTTTTTAAATTTGCAAAAAAGAAATGGATGTGGTACAAAAGCCCTCTGGCCAAAACTGTACACGAGACAATAGAAAAAATTGCACCTTTCTTCGTATTGCTCTTTTTCTGTATTACTCCATTAACCAATAAAAAGGGCATTGAAGGGCCAATTAGGGTCAGAAAAGGGGTGATTACGGGCCAAATGTGAAGACCCATTAAAATGCTTTAACTGATGGATCTCACAACACCATGTCCATGAAGGGCCAATTAGGGGCCACAATTGGGACCAGAAAAGGACCCAATGTGAAGACCCATTAAAATGCCTTCACTATGATGGGTCTTTCAGTACCATGTGCATTAAGGAAAAAAATAAAGGAAGCACAAAAAGAAGTCACGGAACATCGGCTCGAAAACAACGAGGATAACAATGCAAATGGCTACCGTGATCTTCAAAAACTTCTACCCTCTTTACCTTGATAATATCCTTCCTCCTAATGTGCGTTAATAATCACTGTTTTATCCTTCTCTCTGTCGCCCTCTACCTCCTTTTATTCGTATCCTGTAATTCTCTCCATAAAAACTCTGAGCTGCTCACCTCTACATCTAATACATCATCCCACCATCAGTTCACCTGCCCTCACTAATGAATAACTTACCTGATCATACCGCTTGGTGAGGTGTTGCGCCATCCAAGTAATGCTTAACTCTCGCTATAGTTCTTGACACACACACACACAAATAAAATGTCTTATAAGGTTGGTGAGGTGAAAGTGGAGAACACCGAGATTGTCAACTACACACTTCACTGCTGGAAAGAAACTAGTGTTGAGTGAGTTTTCATGGAGTCGAACCAACTGAATCACAAAGTTCGAACCAACGACCCAAAGGAGGAGGAGAAGACGTTGAGGACGCCATGCAACTTCATGTGGACAGAAATATGTTATTTTAATAAGTTGGCTTATCATTATACATTATATTTTTAACTGTGAGGAAGTGCCATTTAGTAGCATACTTGACAATTAGTAATTTTTGTATACACATATCAAGCAAAAACGTGTATTCATATGTCCTACAGTGTTAATATTTACGTGAAAGTCTTTTATAACTATAATTAGTGGGTATATTTGTTATGGCGCCCAATAACATGAAAACTAATAATATATATTAAACGGTAAAGCTGTGTAGAAGTTTTCAAACAACCCGATCAAGAGAGCTGGACGTCTCCGAAAGGCTGAAAGTGATGATAAATCTTTGGGCTATACACAATTTTTGGGAATGAAATTCGCATTGTTATGATGTGAAATGTGAAATATCAACCTATAATGCATAAGACTCATGAACATATAGTATCATAATCTTTTTGATATATTAGAAGAAGAATACAGCGTCACGAAGCCATATTGACGCTTCCGGACTCAGCAGGCGAACACAATGCAACGTCAGCATGATGCTGGTGGCGAGTCTGGCGACATCTTCCAGAAGAAAAAGTTACTGATTTGATTTCACCACGGTGATCCTTCCACAGTTATTATTATTATCGTTAACCCTAGTGCTTTAACCAGAATTAATTAAAGCTGAGCAAGATAAGTAGGTACAAAAAGGTAACTAATTAAATTAAGAACTATAACAGTCCTTGATCTACCGGAACTATTCCAAGGGTTCGATTCCCGCTTGGGTCTGATGTAAGACGAGTGCTGGTTGTCCTGTGTGACCCAAGGGAACGTGGCAGGTGTTCTCCAGGTGCTCCAGTCTCCCCTGTACTAACATTTGCCCCATGAAGATAATGATAGCGAGGGACTTGGCCACGTATGGAACAGCCAGGATCTAACCACAAACAATAATATCTGAGGGAATTGTTATCAGAATAATCAAATATGTGACTCCTATATTCAGAGAGGTAGATCGCCACTCCACAAATAATTATAGACCGGTGAGCTTGACTAGCACAGTGTGTTAAATACTAGTAGACTGAGACCCCAATTAGTTTTTTCAATGGTACCCAACACGGTGAGCTGCAGGAGGTTTTAAGGTTCTTTTCAATACATTATGTTGGCTAGAGATAATTTATGTTGGGGACAGTACTAAAATTTGACTGAGGGAAGCTAAAGATGTATTGCGGTGTTCAGTGGTTGATCACACGTTAAAGGGAGGGAGGCACAAAAAAAAAGCCAAACATCTAATACTCAACAATATCTACGTAGCTGATATGAAATATGTTGTTTTTATTGAATAGCATAAAGCTGTGCTATATACTATACATGTAAGGTGCCAGATATGCATTATAATCTACAATCTACAATAAATACCTTTTTCCAGCTCAATGACTCACAGATCAATATTATTCATGTCTATATTATGAAAGTAATATATATGAACATGACTCTGGTTTGCCACAGCATGTACAGTACACATGAGTTCACTTGACCAATGTTGACGGTACGGATATTTACACCCACAATGCCCCTTGCACCTACAGTAAGCAGATGCAGCAAGGATTGCTGGTGTTTGTGAAACTGTGGTCAACAATAGTTTGACTTTATCATCTGACGACCAACCAAACTTGACTGGGTCTGGAAAGACAGGTTGTGGTTGATCAGCCTTGACTCAAATACTTGAGTGTAAGATAGTGTAGCTCGCTTTACTTGGTGGATAAATGCGTCTTCAGTGGGTGGTAGGCTCCAAACGTCCTTCTGACATACAGGTTTGCCCTGAATTTGTTCAGGTCTTCATATTTACCAATCTGCTGCCAAGTTATTTAGGGAATCAAGAACCACGCGGACTGTGAAGAGCTGCAGAAGGACCTCTGTGAGCTCCAAGAATGGTAGATGAAATGGCTGCTGAGATTCAATGTCACGAAGTGTAAGAGGATGCACCTGGGGCGTACCAACGGTAAGGAGGCGTATCATATGTCCTAATGGGATGAAGAAACTGCATTATTTGAGACTGAATGTGAGAAGGACCTAGGTGTGTATGTTGACAATGAACTGCAGTTCTCGGGCCATTGCGAGAAAAAGGTAAATCAGGCAAATAAATTATTGGGTCTTATAAGAAGGTCGTTCAGATATCTAGACGGTCCGTCCCCGAGATATGCTAGGGACTGTCAGTTGGTTGAAAATGTTCAAAGGAGGGCCACCAGACTGGTGCCTGCACTTCGGCACCTCAACTACCTTGAGAGATTGGAGCGCCTGAACTTGCCGAGCATATACTACAGACGGGCAAGGGCGACCTAATTGAGGTGTATAAGCATCTCAAGGGGCTTCGGGCTGCAGAATTTTTTCAATAAACCGTTAATTATTATTATTAATATTACTCAGTCGAGTGTCCTTACTTGGAGCTGGCGGACGCTCGCCCCACAAGGGGTCACAGCTCAAGATTGAAGAAGCCGCAGGTCCAGAAAACTGTGA